GGATATTCAAGCGGTACCTAGCGCAGGCCGATGACCAAAACATGAACCAACTCTTGAACAATGTGACATGGACAAAAGGGTGGACCAATACTGACTGAGGTCGGTTGGCAACTTCCCCTAGCACAGGTTGATTGGCTATGGTCCCAACCTAATCTTGTGCGAGGTGGCGGTTACCCTTCTTTTTCATGGGTACGTTTCATGTTAAGGAGGCTTTAGCAGAGCTCAACGGATCAACATTTGTTGAACAAATAGTCAAAAATGGTCCCAATGTGGGGCGCTTCAAAGGGGGTCGGGGCCCAAAGCAAAAACTCCGCTCTCCAATGACGCACTTGAAGCCTACTTTTGGCATCACTATACAACTAATTGGAGCCCCTTCGGTGCCCATCTTTTACATGGTTGCGTTGTATGTCTTCCGCCGCCCATTTGGGTGGGTATGCCCATTGAAGCAATACAATTCATGGCAGTTTTGGTCGGCCTTACTATGGCCGATGATTCTTTTTGGGAGTTCTGAAGGCACAGTTCTGACGCGGCCGGCTCCGAGGTTCACTCAATGGGTCACCAGTCCACAAGGTCCCACAAACGCAAGGGGATCTTGATTCGCGCAGAGATACTCCAAATCTCGGGATTTTCAACATGGCCAACATGTATCCTTTTGCAGCCCAGTCCTAATCCTTGGAGACTCTCTATTTTGGGGGCGGTCAAATCCATTTGTAGTGGGCTGCGGTCCCACCAAGCTAGGGATTTAGAGGGCAACGTCAGCCCAAATGGGGGGTGTCTCTCTTTCGAGGGTATTATTCCGGGTGTTGGGGTCCAAGGCAACCGCAATTTTGGCGGCCTTTATTAACAAACCAGACCCAAATGAGTCCGGTATTAAAATGGTCTACCCAGAACCATGTAAAGAATTAAGAAGGCGGCCGCAACTATTTCTGGCTGGGACTGCCCCTTACTAACCTTCATCTGCCCGGGTTGTGATTGTGGCTCAAATGGGGCCCAGATTTTCTCTGAGCTGCCACCACCTGCGTCTCCACGTTGCTGGGCTTTCCCATGGACGCCAAGCCGGTATTGTCCTCCTAGGCACCGTGGTATTTTTTGCTTCCGGTTCCCGGTGGCCTCCTAAAAGTAACACCATGCCAACCTTGGCCCACAAAATGGGCGCACAAAACAAATTATTGTCCTGGCCAACAAAAAACCGAATAGTATTGGATTGGACTAGGCGACTGGCGGCCCGGAAACAAAGAAACACGTTAAATGAACTCTAACACCCATGAGCAGCAAAACATAAACACGTCTATGTCTGCTATGCGTGAAGCTGTGTGTGATCTTAACCTGTATTACTTTCGTTTCTTGACTTGCCTCTAGTTGTTTCTTGAGTCGTCCCTGTCAATTTGCTGACTCATGTTTCCTGACTCGGTCTAGTCTGACTCACTCCGACACACACACACACACACGATCCACATTCGCACGGCGCCACCGCGAGAGCGCACGATCTCCGCAGAGGGTTCACTCCTGCAATACTTGCAAGCTGCGCTGGACACGAAACCCGTAGCATCAGCACAAAACATACAGACTGCGCCCGCCGCGAGAATTGCATGACAATTGCAGGCCAATCTCACAGAATGCAGCGCAAGACGCTTTTCTGCGACAACGACAAGGCCACGCCCCCCGCATAGTGGGCCTGCCGTCAACACACACTTTGCTCTCCGCAAAACGTGTTTGGCGACGCTTCCTGAAAAAACACACCTTGCGTCGTAGCACGAACTTCGCCACGCAGTGTCCCTGCCACAAAAAAAAAACGCACACTGCTCTCAAAAAAGAGCTTGGCGCGACGCTTCCTCAAAAAACATAGCGCAGCCCCTCTCCTGCCACCAAAAAACGCGATGTCACGCGTAAAATTCGAACGGCGCGACAGCGAGAGCGCATTTTTGCACTGAGGCGCATTTCGTGCCAGACTGCCGCATCGAAGACAACGGCTCTTACCGTAAGAACCCCTTAGTGTAACCACTATTTGGGGAATCATTATCTGATTCTGTTGAATATTTGGCTACTCTAAATCAAAGGGCGGCCAAACAGTGTGCCTACATGGGCTTGTCCTTTTTGAGGCTAGCTTGTTTGCCGGTTTGGGTCAAACCCGCAAAAAGGGTAGCCTCAAAAAGATGCAGCCATTTAGACGCACTTTGCTTTACGTACTGGGTGATGTAACAAAAGTACAGCACACACATATACATGTGTATATAGTTGGGAAAACTCATTTCAGAAACCGCATCATAAAAAAGGGGTCTGAGAGCAACCATGTGTGCTGCCCTGCTAGGACTCAATCTAAACCACGAGAGGGCCAAGCCGCTCAAACACTTTTGGACGTCTGCATGGTGCTAACAACTAATATTTTTGTTCGGGTTCGTTTGTTCAAGGCCTATAGTCCCCATAAGTCCCGCTCAAAGCAACCCCACCACACTCCAACTACTGCTTTTTGGGCACTTGGGATTTTGGACATGGCAAGAAGCAGTTGTTGGGGGGGTGCCGGAACTTTCCCATTCTCCTGGACAACTTTGTCCCAAACCGCCAGATCATCTGTGCCCGGCTTTCGCTGCTGCGTCCAGCCCCCGGGCATTTCCGGCAGCTCGAAGGCGGAGGAGCCCTTGCGCTGCGTCGCGCCCAGGGGAATGTCCGGCAGCTCGAAGGCAGAGGAACCCGCGAGCAACAGGAGGACAGCAACGGAACGGCGAAAGGCCATGGCGGTCGAATTGAGTCGCGAGAGTCGCTTGGAGCCAATCTGGAGCGCTTGAAAAGCAAGCACATGAATTGGCGTATACCCGGTAAAATGGGATTCCGTTTCTGCTACGAGAACATGTTGGCTGATTCCGCACTTAGTTCCATAGTAGATGACTTGCTTGGAAGTTCATTCATCAGCGTTCGCTTGAGCAAGAGACGAGCAAACGAGCTTGGTTGGGCTCGGTCCGACGCACTAGTTGCATGATACCATCCTACAAGTACCCGAAGAAACACAAAAAAGTCTTGCAGGGCCAACCGCCACGCAGGATTCTCATGTGTTACAGCAGCATGAGCCCCAACTGTGAATTGCGACTAAGCAAGCTTGCCCAAATGGGCGAAACCAACAAATGAAAGGTCACACTGGGTGGAAACTTACTCAACTTGATCTCTTAAAGTAAGACTTTCCCAGACCCCAAGACCAACCCCAAACCAAACAAACATGACACTTTCGCCAAGCTTGAGTCTTCTTCAACGCAGATGTTCCCCTCTTGTACTTCTTGTGGTTTACCCTTTGGTCGGGGGGTTGGGCGGATCAGCGAGCGCCTCCGAGCTCAGGTTCCAATGAGTAATGATCTTCCAGCACAGCACCTTCGGAGCCAACTCCTGGGCCGGAGGTATGCGGTGACGAGCCACTCTTCCCACATGATCCTGCCCAGACGCTCTCGATCGATGGGCCTTCAAACATCCAGGTTTCGAGTCCCCAAAACCTGGGGTGTCCAATGAAGGCTCTAAGTCTTCCACTGGAAGGTTCGGGAGCGTCTGGGTTGCAAAACAAGGGTCTTCGGTCTGGGAGCAAAAGATGTCCAGCATAGCCTATGGCCTACCATCGACCAGACCCCTAAGGCGCATTCTCTTACAAAGAACTAAAACTCCTTCCGTCTCTCTCCCTCCCTCCGCACACGCCCATTTTCGTCTGATGCGACATTCCGTCGGCTCAGGAACACACCATCCTCAGGGCGGGATGAATGCAGCTTGCAGGTTCTTCCCAACCCACCCAGAATTCCTCAGATGCCCAGTGGCCATGGGAAAAAAAAGGCATCTTTTTTTTGGTTGCTTGACTTCAAAGGGGATTCCTGCCCAAAAAAAAGTGAACCACTGGGCAGCTGAAATTCAGCTCACCAATCTCTTGGCAGAAAGGCTCAACCGGTCGCCGAATCTTTGCTTTGCCCTACAGACTAACGTGGAACCCAACACAGCCATCATTCTAGAGGCAAGTGAGACCGTCGGCGTGCAAAAATGATTATGACAATTGACAACCCTGCGCCGATTCAAATATTGCTTGGTTTTGCGTAGACGTGTGTTGTCATCTGATCCACGTCCAACCTTTGTGAGCAAAGAAACGCATTGTCGTCAGGGCCCACCAATCCTTGTCTTCCCAAAATCTAAACTCTTCGCCTTATAGGGCGAATGGCTGACTTGTCTAAGTTGCTCTCCGTTGCCACATGTAAGGATGTGCACAGCAATTCTGGTTGTCCCTCTTGCAACAAGTCGAAGGTTTGTGTATGTCTGCGAGACGAATTGGCGTTTGCTCTGAAAGTGGTGGTTCACACCAATCCGCCAAACATTCCCCCTCAGTTGGAAAGCATTCACCTGGAGTGCTTGAGTCCAACGGACGGTCGCAGAAAGAAGTGTACAAAACCGAAGCTTCAAAACTATATTCATCTCATCTTGGAATGGGTTGCACATAGAACAAACATCCATTGAGTAAGTTCGCTTCCGAGGTGAGCTGTTTCTGCATTTGTAGCCTATTCCCATTGTCGGGTCATGGAAATCAAACAGCACTTGGGGCAGTCCACAATGCTTAGCCTGCTTGCAGGTCGTGTTGATGGACAACACGTTGTTGACTGCACCATACACTCGGTTCAGGGTGGCTGTCATTTGGGGCATGTTGGACACTTCCCTACGACTATGAAAGTTGCCCACAAAAAGCACAGGCGAGGTAGCGGGGGCAAAGAAACGTGTACCTACTGGTGGGTTCTGGCAGACCTCACTTGCGAAGACTCCCGTACAGAGAGGTAAGCTACCCTTGGCGAAGACCCTTAAGGACTTCACACATAAAATCTCCAGGGATTCTTCCAAATGGGTGTGTCTGCTTCTTTAGGGGACCCCCACATGGGGCAACTCTTGTTCTCCTTTTGGTTTCCCTTCACCGCCAACAAGGGGGTACCAAATCCAAAAAAGACGAGCCACCCTTTCTGGGCTTTCTGGGCTGTCTCCCAATTCGCCAAGTCTCAGTTCGGCTGGCGCCGTTGACTCGGATCAAATCCGCCCCAAGCTCGCCTGGAGGCCACGGATTGGGCGCGCGCTCCACTCTCGCTGGGCCTTGGGCCTTGGGTCTAATCGCCAGAGGAATCTGCGAAATCCCTTGCGCACTTTGAATCCATGGGAATGAAACCATGAAATTTGTTGGTATCTACAGTCAATGAATCCTATGGGCCTATGGGCACAAACCCATGAAATTTATTGGTGTCTAGAGGGGAATCAAATTAGAATCCAGGGTTTCTGAACGTTGGTGCGATGTAAACTTCAGTAGGGCTCGCGGTAAATGTATGAGCCGATGATAAAGTTATGGGACTCATGCCATGCACAATTATATACGTGATACAATCCGAATCATCCCACGAAGGTTCTTGAACCTCATGCACCAGCTTGATTCATCCATACCCGCTAAGCCGCCACATCCGCCACACTCCGGACTGGTAGCGCCAGGACAACTAGAACTCATCAGCATTAGCATTCCCAGTGAGTCGATTTCTCTGAACAATAGCCTCCATTTGCTGAAGCCCGTTGAAACAACAACATATTTCCAGTAGTGATAGATTGCCTTTAGAAGCAACATGGGGAAAATAGAATATATTCATTTCAGCAAATGGAAGGTGTGGAACCACCCTTTAAAAACCAGGAAGGAACATGGCTGGTTCCTTCTGTGGTAGGTAGAACCCATTGCCGTCGGCTAGTCACTGGCACTTGACTTTGCTTCTCCCATTGGGAACGGCCATCCGCCGAGCAATTGACTGACCATGGTGATTTCACACCTAAGTCGGGTTTCGTTTGGGACTTTGAGTGAAACCAACACACAACCAACACAAAACCAACACAAAAACCACAAACCACCACACAAATGAGTGAATATAGTCAGATATCACGTGGATTGAATCAAGTATAGGTGCTGCCCCGTGACCAGCAAGCTGCTCCACCAGCCGAAGTGACCCGGCCTCATGCCAAGGCGCAACAGCCCCAACCTCCCAACCCGATTTAAACCATCCCCGATTTGGTGTCCTTTAAGGGAATCCCCAAACGGTTAATTCCCAACACCTGGGTCATTCCCTACTGAGCACCAGCAAGGTAATTACCAAAACAGAAGATTCACAGATTCTTTTCACTGCCAGCTACCATGGCTGGTAACAGCATTGACACCCAAGTGAAGGCCATAGGATGTCAGTCCCAAGTGGTACTGACGTTCGTCTTTTGGGAAGGAAGTTCGGCATAGCTCCAAGAAGAAACCAACACTTTTAGGGCGTGCAAAAACGTTCGGTAGCCTCTCACGATCCTAAGCGTCCAAGTACGTTCGGCTCCATTTGCTTGAGTCCCCTAAAAACACACATATTTCCAGTAGTGAAAGATTGCCTTTAAGACCAACAGGGGAATTGAAACATATTCATTTCAGCAACTGGCAGCTCGGATATACTTTGACCCATTTTTGACCCACCTCCCACAGTGTTTCTCCCGTACCCCAAAAGGCTGAGCTCGGCTGAGGTATCGGCGAGCGGTCTGGAGCGACAGTCACGGCCTTTGGCTTGACCAGCATCCAGCACTAGGACCTGCCATTCACAATAGGCGGCCCAGGGCTGGGGAACTGCTTCGTGTTTAAAGTCCTTGTTTTGTAAGGGAAAATGGAAGCCATTTTGTGCGTAACCTAAAAGACACGCCAGACAGTTCTTCAAGCAACCTCCTGTTGGCTCCCTGAAAAAGGGTGCCGCAATTTTGTACACACCCTCTGACCCACCACCCGTTATCCGGATGGAACTTTTCCCACTGCTGGTTTCATGTCCAAGATCCTTTGTCTTAGTGGCTCTTAAAAAAAAGTGTGTGTTTTTTAAAGAACAAACAAAAGAAAAAGAACATTGGTTCACGTTCCTGGGCTGGAAACCCCAATAAAGCACCAGCAGGAATTGGTCCAGGAAAAGCACCGGATCCTTTGGTTAGTCCAAGAACATCTTGCGGCGTCAGGATTTCCGTTGAGCCCAGCTTTCTCTTAGGCAAGGCTGAAAATCCCCCGCGGTGGACCCTCTGGAACTCCACTGGAACTCCACTTGGTGCTTCGCAATGCACACCCCTCAAAGGGTGTCCCCTTGAAACAACTCAAACAAAGCATGTGGGAACCCGCTTGGCTGCGCGCTGAAGTGATGAAAGGCAAACACATGGCCCAGACTGCAGACTCAATTATACCACAAGACCAGGTGACAAAAATATCCCTCCATATAGGTTTCCGTTTCAGCAAATCCCAAGTTGAAAGTCTAATCACACTATAGCCCTACGAGCCCCCTTGAACCTCATTTCAGGCCTTTCGGGGCTCAAGGCCCCCTCATATTTACACTGGCTTGTATCGTAATTAACCACAATAAACCAATAAACCAACATAAACAAACCAATAAACAAACACACAATAATCATTCAAGCAAATCCCAAGTATTTCTAGGGAACCCCCCTGGCTGCTTTTCGAGCCTCTCATGTCTCTGCCCCCTCGCCGCCCATAGCCCGCCGCTCGCCTCGCACGCGTCGCTCGCCCAGAGGTCGCGCAGCAGCTGCAGCGGCGCCCGGCCGCCGCCGCGGCCGCACTCCAGCAGCACCTGGCGCGCGAGCGCGCGCGCACGTGGGGGAAGCGGCGGGTGGATGGCCTGGTGGCCCCTTTTCTTTTCCAAGGAGAAACCACAAAAAGCTAGGTCCTCCAGCTTTGAGAGGTTAGAATAAGTTGGTACCTGTTTCTTTTTTCTAGAGTGTCTATTTTGGTAGGGGAAGCCTCCCCCAAAAAAGGGGTGAGAAAGGGCACTACTGGGGGACCTAGACAAGGCGGTCTTTTGGGAAGCCGGAATGAGAGGAAGGGATGCCGCTATCATTCATCTCACTCACTCTGGGATCTGGAAAGCCAACGAAGAACAAAGGGAAGCCAAAGAAAAAGAGACACGTAGAAGACCAAATGGGGAAAATCAACGGGAAACGAAAAAGAAAGGACAACCAACAGCAACGAAAATGGAAGACAGAATAGGGAAAACTAAGGAGCCAAAGGGAAACATTAGATGGAAGACCCAAAAGGAAAGCAAAGAATCCCAAGAGAACCGCCAACATAGATTTTGTTCTGCAGGAAGGCCAGGAAAAACACGGACTTTCTGGACATCGTATCTTCTTTGGAGACAGCTCGCTTCGGGTCAGGTCAGGTTGGTGGGGCAGGCGGTGCTCGAAATCAACTGTTCCTTTGTCATCTGGATTTCTGCTGGACTCATTCTGCAGGCTCGAATGGCACACACCCAAGACCTGCGCTTCAACTGGCCAAGTTTGATTAGTCTGTGACATCGGGAGAATGACCAGCAGGACGGTGGAGCCAGGAGCTAGTCTTGCATGCGTCATTTTGTGATATGTTGTGCGGGTCGCCTAAAGCGATCTGCGGGAAGCAGGCTGAGAATGGGCGAAGCAAGCTCATGCAAGTCATGCAAGCCTGCGACTGAAGAGGTCTCAAGCAAGGGCGCTTTGGCATTGCCAAGCGGCGTCTGTCATGCATGAGCAGTCAAAGTTCGCTTGAGGCAGCGACATGGGACAGGATGAAGAGGTCATACCTGAGGCATCACATGCATTGGCCTCTACCGTGTTTATGCCTCCAGCAGTCAATCACCTTTTGGCCCGTACTACTCTTGAATATTGTTCAAGTACATGGGTGTGGGTCAGAATTAAACCACCAGACCACAGGTTTTAGTCCTTGCTTCCATTTACCCGGGCAACCCATTTTGGGTACCTGTTTCTGACCCACGGCCACATGAGCTGGTCCCCAACACAAACGACGCCCCACTGATGAATTTGGTGCTGCCTCTTGTTCAAGATTGCGATGCCTCCCGGGCCAATAGCAGACATCTGCGCGCTTGTGCCAAATAAAGACACAACAGGCGCTGTGTCAACATGGCCTTCCTGTGCACATGTGTGTATCCCCAGAAAGCCTTGCAGCGGTCTTGTCAAAACGATATTGGAGGGAATCCGGATGATTGTCATCAAGTGAGGGCAATATCTTGAATGCAATGTAATGCCTTTTTTTTATGGACGGCAACAATATCTAATAGTTGAAACGTTAAAACACCCTCAAAACAGCTTGGAGGCCACACACCCTCTTGTAAACTGATACCACCAAGGTGCCGACGGTGGAATTATCACACCAAAATCGAGAGGCTTCTGAATGGAACGTCAACAACAATAGGCCGTTAGTTGCCTAAACATTTGCAAACTATGTGACGTGTTGCTCCAACCATCAAATCAGGGTGAAAGTAGATGGCACCCTCAAAGGTGATGACTGACCGACATGGGGAAATTGTGCCATCTACTTTCACCCAACAACATTGGATGCGGAGGTGTTTTGCTTGGTGGTACCCTTGTTGCGGTTGGTTTCGAGGAAAATACAAGGGACACCACAATTGTTAGAGTCCCTATATCCTTTAACACATGCTGATGTATATTGCCAATTGAAGCCGGTGGCGCACCTTCTGTCTGCTCTCCCTTCGAGCTAGTGGCTCGGCATCCTGCAGCGCTGTGTTCGCCTCGTCGCCCAAGGGCTTGGACACATCGCCTAAGCGAGAGTGAAGTGAAGCTTGGTGTTTGGGATCTCGGCGAATTGGCGAAATCCAAGATCTCGTGTTTGTTTTTCCTCTTCTTTGGGAGACACCAAAATCCATGTTGGTTTTTAGGGGGGTATGCCTGAAATGGGGAACTTGTTGGTGGGCAAACTCCAGCTTTTTTTGTCGCAGCTTGAGCTAAATCTAGCGACCTTAGATGGTACTGGTGAATGACCAAAGCCAAATTCAAAGCTGTGGAATCTAGCTGTGCTCAACCAAACCGACCTAAAATACACCTATGGAAGGGAAGGTCTTGGTCAAGGTTTTGTCCTATGGCAGGAAGCAGGTTACTGCCAGAATCAGCGGAATAACAGGGATATTATCCTTGTAGCTTTGCTCATTCCCCCGCCCCCAAACACCCGAAAATAACCAGCGGCTACCTGTGAGTGAACATGAATCGACACAGGAACACCAGACTGACAAATGAGACAATCGAGTTCTGGCGAACACACACCATGCCTCAGTGATCCCCGCTGCCGAAGATGCATCACGCACCCTGCATGTTCAGACTCCAGGGAGACCCTGGGAGCTGGGGTAGGCTTGGGAGGTGACTACACTGTCCAAAGAAACGCCACAGATCCGCATCTCGGCAGACTTGTGAGCTGCCAGTTGTACCGTTGGCCGAGTCATGCAGAAGCCCCTAGTATTCAATGCACGAGCAAATTCAGACCCTGGTTGCCTACACTGATTGGGGCATGATGTGAGCCTTTCCGCTCACAGGAGCAATGATGAAGACGCCTCGACGGCAATAAGTTGTCATGCTTCCCTGAATGGCTGCTGCCAAATCTTGCGTCACGACCTATCCTGTTGCTAAAGCTTCGATCTAGCATATGAGGCACGGTCGACATGACTTACTTATGGCGGGTTCGTTGCTTAGTTTGCGAGTCGGGCTTCAGTTTCCGGCGTTTTTTTGTGTGTTCGAACAATTCTCAATTTACATGTACTGCGGGAAGACAAACGGCTAAGGATGCAAGATAGAATAAAAGAAGAAACGGACGGACGGACGGACGGACGGACGGACGGACGGACGGACGGACGGACGGACGGACGGAGGGAGGAAGGAAGGAAGGAAGGAAGGAAGGAAGGAAGGAAGGAAGGAAGGAGGGAGGGAGGGAGGGAGGGAGGAGAGAAGGGAAGGGAAGGGAAGGGAAGGGAAGGGAAGGAAAGGAAAGGAAACGAAGGAAGGCAGGAGGAAAGGAAGGAGGGAGGGAGGGAAGGAGGGAGGGAAGGAGGGACGAAGAGAAACAAGGAAGCAGGACGAAAGGGAGAAGGATAGGGAGGCAGGGATGAAGGAAGCCAAGGAGCAAGGGAGCAAGGAGGAATGAAAGGCAGGAAGAAGGAAAAAAGGAAGAAGGGAGGGAGGGAGGGAGGGAGGGAGGGAGGGAGGGAGGGAGGGAGGGAGGGAGGGAGGGAGGGAGGGAGGGAGGGAGGGAGCGAGGGAGCAAGGGAGCAAGGGAGGAAGGGAGGAAGGGAGGAAGGAAGGGAGAAAGGCAGGAAGAGTGCAGTTTTCCTCTTTTCTAAGGACACGCTTTCCAACCTCCTGTGTAGACCCGCAAACATGCCGGTAAAAAGATAAATGCTTTCACTGGAGCAGTGGTTGTTGACGGTGCAAGGCAATTGAATGGCCTGACTTCATGACCCTTGCATAGCAATGCTTTCAGACTGCGACGATCGCAAACGCCTGCAGGCAACCTCTAGCAATTGTGTGTGTTGAAAAACAGCTTTTAGCTGGGAAACCGGAGTGCGACGATTGAACAGGCAAGTTTGAGTGCATGCGCGATGCTTAGCCAGCGGCAATGATAGTAGCCGATCTCTTCACCAATCAAGTTGGCCACTGCGTCGACGATGGGCTGCCACGTGTCAACCCACTCCTTGAATCGCCAGCCGCGCATGCAGGCAACACAAGCTTGCGCCGTGTGCCAACTGATCTGCACAACTTGCACAAATTATCCCCTACCGAGCTGGGCTTGGAGTCATCGCAGTGGTCGTTGAACAACTGCAGAGCTGCAAACTGCGCCTGCACGATTATTGAAAAAAAAAAAACAACAAAAAGGAAACAAGCGAGTCCGGGAAACATGCTGGTAAAGGCTGGCCGCAGAAGCATGCCTGATACACCCATAGGGGGGTCTGTTAGACCTCAGATGTTGGTTCCAGCGTCGTACACCGCCAGTCGTCCATGGCTGCCGCCCGCAATGTCTCTTGCCACCTGGGCGTCGATGCAACCTGGAGCTAAATCTCCCAACTAGCTCAAGGGGAAGACTTTCACTGGTCCAAGTTCTATCTGACAGCAATCTAATGGCCCCATAACAAATAGAGAGAGAGAGAGAGAGCGAGTTAAGACCACCATAAACACAAACGAAACCCCATTGCAACCCAAAGGACCAGCCAAGTACCAGGGGAATGATGAATGTACATTAATGGTTTATACAGATTTAGTTGGACAATTATTTAAAGGCACCGCAACATACCGCAACTTTATGGGATCCTGTGGTAAGTGGTTCAATCTTGATCCAACCCTGAGGGAACCCGTAGCAAACCGGTCTTGGAGAGTCCACTGTGGCTTGACCACCTTTTCACTTTTGTGGGTGCTTCCAAAAAACAAACAAACTGGTTGATTTTCTATTGGTTTCCCATTAAGCCGACTTGTTTGATTTGGACGCTCGCATGGTTCCTCATTACACCATCACCCCGACACAAGGAAGCTCGGTTTTCATTTATAGCCAAGGTTTCCCATCTAAAGTTTAAAGCGTGGCCATGCCGGTGTGTCTTTCTTTGAGGGTGCCCTTTTTGTTGGGTTGCAAAATGGAACCTGGGTTGAAGCAGGCTTTACTATACCCCCATGAAACCAGGTAGTAGAAGTAAGAATTTGGTGCTCATTTGAAGACAAATGGGTCTCATTGGTTTGAGGGTATCCCTTGTTTGTCGTTTTGAAAGGCAACCCAAGAAGGAAAATGAACCCATGTTGTGGGGTTCCTGACAAAAAGACGCACCCAAATGGACGGGGGGTCCTAAAAACACACACGCCCAAATGAGTCATAATCAAAACCCGGTATCAAAATGCTCTACCCAGAACCATGCTTCAAGAACTAAGAAGGCAGCCGCAGGCCGCAGCTGTTTATGGTTGGGAATATCCCTTACTAACGTTCATCTACCCGGGTTTTAATTGTGACTCAAAAGGGTATGGCTCAAAATGAAAAGGCTAGGACCCCACGAGGGATTCTAGTCTTTGTTTCCGATTACCAAGGAACCATGTTGGGTACCCTCCTGTCCACTGATATTAACTGATATGGAACCCACCTCGTTTGGGGGGTTTGAGCTCAAACTGGAAAAACCACGGCGACTCGCCGCTGGCTTCAAGGCGCCACAGCGGCGAGAAGCTCCGCGCCGGGGCCGCCCCCCAAGGCGCACACTCGCAGCGGCCCCGCCTCTGCAGGGGTTTCGCGCGGCGAAACGACACAGGCGAGTCATACGGTGGATGGACAAAATCCATTTCGCGCCACGTCAACACCATCGAAACTCCATTGTTTGTTGGTATTTACAGGGAAGTCATCCTTCCAGAGTTTCTTAGGTGGTGCAGGATTTCGTCCATCCACGGTATGGTAGGGCGCGCTTGTGGATTTGTTGTGTGTTTTTGCTGTTGGTTTTGATTTGTGCGTGTTGTCTGTGTGGTTGAAAACAATGATTCCTGTTGAATCATTTGTGACAAACAAATGTTTGTGCAACTATAGAATCTTTGGCAGGTGTCCATGCAACTGTCTTCGGAGTGGCCTGAAGTGGTGCTTAAAGTACCTCATCACGCAAAGGCGGGCAGAATTTTCTGCCAAAAGGTCTGATGGGAATGCAAACTTTGTCGGCATCCCTTTCTGCCACCAAACCTACAGCTTCAATGTAACAATAGTTACCCAGTGGTGATTGATTTGCCGGTGTTTCAAATTCGAGAACTTCTCTTTGGGTGGTTCAGAGCAAATTCATCACCCCGCGGCTGCTTTTTAGAAAGACAAACCGTGAAAAACCCATTCACGTCTACTTCTGCCAGCTTGGCCAGTCCATACTACCCACGACTTCCTGACGAAACGCAGAATAAAAAACAAACCACCTACCAGAACGTCCTAAGAGCAGCCTCTCCCACGTCAACCCCCCCCCTCGACCCCGCCAGCTTGGCTCGAAGCGACGCGGACGCGAAGCGCTGCAAGGCGTTGAAGGCCATCGAGGCGCGCAGAGCGAACTTCTCCTTTGCGTACCTGATCGCGTCTCTTTTTCGAGGGTACCGGGGTTGGGTTAAAGGGAAACCATGGGGTTATTTCCTCTTTTTTTGGAGGGTACCCATTTTGGGGTTGAGATAAAGGGAAACCACGCTGGACCACAGTGGGCAAGATCAGTATTTAGATCCCCCCAAAAAATAGCGTGGGGAAAATAGGGGGGGACCTGTTCTTGTGGTGAGAAATTGGGTAGGCCCGCCCATGTCTTTCCCAAACGGACAATATGCTTCCGACGAATGTCACGCCAGTTGAGTCATAATCAAAACCTTGTATTAAAGCTCTTCTTCCCCAAAACACGCAAATCATAAAACAATTTGGATACCTTCATCTGCCCGCTCGTGCTTTGCTTGTGAGTCACATGGACAACTTAGTGAGTCTGTAGGCACTTGAGCGACTCGCCCCATGCCCCAAAACCCGGAGTGACCATAAGGACCCAAAGCGAATCTCCCGAAACGGGAACGGTGGATGCCCAATAACTATTGCAAGTACACTACAATCCATGGGAATTTACCTGGCTTGTCTTGTTCCCTCCCCATATTTGACTCATCCACAGTTCCTTGCTTGGATCTTTAAACGACTTATAGTCGGCTACAATAAGGGGGACGAAACCACTGACCTAGGTGGCCTTTTGGACTAGATGGGTTTCCCTGGTAAATGGGGCATAAAACCCATCTAACCCAGCGGAACCTATCTATTTCTAACCAAGCTAACCAAAAAAGGACTGCTGCCTAATTATGCTTGGGATTCCACAAACAAGGGCCACTCCCTGACACTTGGAGGCAACCCCCATCAGGGCAGCTGCAAATATTGCTCACCGACCAACGAAAACGACTCCGAGGAATCGAATCGAGGCTCCCCAAGTGCCTCAAATAATCAGGTCTTGGGCTCCTAGGTGGTACCATGGTACCTGGAAGCACTGGGCTAGTTGTAACGAGACCCCGGCGCTCCAACGAAAACAAACGAATCTCGTCGAGGCTCCCCCAAAGGGCGTCGAGGTCTCGAAAGTCCTCCGGCTGCTGCGTGCAGCGCCGCATGTGGTCCTGAACCGCCCGCGCCTGGCTCAACCGGCAGCTGAACCCAGGTGCTGAGCCTTGGGGGAGCCTAAGACCTGATTAGTTGAGGCCTTTGGGGGTTCCGAGGCCCTCATATTTAGGGTCCAAGGGGCTGCTAGGGGGTGTTATTGCAACAAATTATGGTTGGTGATTCCCCCTTTTTGAGGTAGTTTGAGGGTTCAAGGTTGGCCAATCTTGACAATCATGGAAGTGGACAAAGGGCTTCCCCGAAAGAAAAGTCATCGTCCAAAACCCTCCTATCAGCGTGCGTGGTTGTTTGAGGCACCAGGAGTCTCATTCCTGACCCTTGAAAAATGTGGTTGCCCAAAAGATGGGTAAATTAGACAAAATATGCGCTAGTTAGCGCCCAAACATCAACAAAAACGCGAAGCATGGGCCAAAATTGGGTACAGCATAGAGAGCCTGGGGCACGCAAAACGAAACCCACCATGTGCTTCCTAATTTTGTGGAGAGAAAACCACATACTTTTCTGGTGCCGATAGTTATGTCGTGGACAGAATCCGGCACCATTTTGAAAGCATGGTTGAAACCCTAGGTGTGCTGGTAATTCCAGGGGGAATCATCATTCCAGCGCTTCTTACACAAAGTCTTCTCAAGCGCTCAGTGACGATGTCCAATGTGACAACAGAACAATAAAGAAGCAGCATAAAGAATCCGACCCTTGAAGTCATTGATGATTTTGTTCATCTCCCAGTAAAAAGTGAAGTGCGGTCTAACTCAAAACGGTCTCTTCCATAGCCTGCCTTCTGCGCTTGCGCGGACGCAGCAGCTTCCGTTAAGGAGCTCCCATCTCTCTCCGGCCTAGCAGGTTGGGTTGAGCTTGCCTTTAATGCACATGGGTTTGTTCGCCTTCTCATGGAAGCTCTAACAAACATGCACACAAGCGCACACACACACACACGCGCGCACCAAAGGCCCTCCGCAACCAGGGTTCTCAGAATTCTTGAAAGGGCTCTGAGAACCGTTCTGGAGGATTGTGTGGCAAAAAGCGGCTCGATCGGCCTTGATGGCTTGCAAGGGATTCGATTGCCGAAGGGTCCGAGTGTTTAACCGTCTCCGAATTTGTCATGTTGCCCATGTGATCCCGACTTCCCAATTAGCCTCTATTCCCCTTTCGAACTTGCCGACCAACACCACTAGCATCTGAACTATATAGGTTGAAGCACATGTCGCAAAAGCTTGCCAGAAGCGTCAACAATTGTGAGCATGTGCATATTCTGCTCACTTGTCCAGAAGCAGGTCTATATGCAGGCCCGGCGGGTCCCGCATTTATATTTTGAGCCCTTTACGGCGACAGAAAATATAGATACCTGCTTATACCTTGTTTACCTCTCATTGCCTTTAAGGCTCATGGAGAGCTGTGCACAAAGAGTTGGGGTGTCAGGTCAACACCAGATTGAATTGGGACTTGCTGTGCGAAACTCTGAAAACTGACATTTGTGTTTGGAAGGAAAGGGAAAACTATCGCAAGGCGGAGATGCGTGACGCCGAATCAATACCCTCCTTCACGTCTAATCATGTCGACGCCCTAAACTATGAGGTGGGCAAAGCCCCAAGCGGAGTCTTCACTCGTTGAACACGCGGCGATGCCTGGTGCCCTTGTCTTGGCCTGTTTAAAGAGACACAAGTCAAAGGGACTCTAAGTGCCACACGACCCAATGCAGACTCAGTACCACATGTTGGTAGAAGCAAAGCATGGATTCGTAGTTTCTAGGTGCCACATGTACACTTTAGCCATCACCCCAAAGGAGACTTTGACAAAGAACGAGTGTGTTTCTCGCACCCAAAGCGAGAACATCCCATCTTGGGGCATCCCCCTTTTCAGACATACTCACATCTCCATGTGCTGACTACTCTGTCCCCAATCACACTGGTTTTTGGTGAGTAACCCCTATGTTCGAGTGAGTCCTCCTGTCCCTGAGCAAAATATCTAAGCTGTTGTTGGTGTGGCAACAAACATGGTACCTCACAAGTGGGTCCAGGTTTGGACCAGCTTCCTCTAAAAGGGACCCCCTGGTCTGTGCCTCACTTCCTGAGCAGATTGGCCAGAAACCACTGAACAAAATAGTCCAACCCCCAAAATTGATTATCTTCCGAAACGGAACTCAGGGAGTGAGGTTCCATTGCAACGTAGAGAGGCTGATTGATCCTTCCAAGTCGCCCGAGCCCCAAAACGAAGCGCTCCGCGATCTGCCCGAAGTCGGCATCGTCCGCCCAGGGCCAGAAGCACGTGGCCTCGGGAAAACCGAGATGGGGAGGGCACCTCGTCGTTTGAGGGTACCGAGTTTTGGGGCGGTTTTAAAAAACCCAGAGGCTCCCGATTGATTTAGGGCCTTCAAACAGCCTGGTTTTGAGACCCCCAACCACCTCCAGGGTGTGTAATGTAGGGGTCGGGTCTTCCATTGAAAGCCCCAGGAGCCTCTGGGAGGAAAACAACAAGAAAACCACCATTTGCGGGGGGGGGGGCCTTTGGATTCCTTTTGCAAACCACCACCCCAAGAGTATGCCCAAAGGTCACACCACTGCTATGAGCCAGTATCAACAATGTACGGTTAATGGACATGGGAAAATGAGTGAGTCTCCCCGATTTGTGTGTACCAACATCGTGAGTGTTCTTTTTGTCTGTGTTTTGCTCTTTTTCAGCAAACAGAGGTACACAAAAAAGAGGTGATATCCCCAACAGCATGCAGTTCGCACTACTTCGCAACCCTCCCAAAACCTCGTGGAACCCTCGTGGAACCCTGGTGGAACCCTGGTGGAACCTTACCTCAGGGCCGCCCCGGACCCCGGAGCCTATCTGGGCTGAGACCCCAAAGCTTTCAGCTGTTGGGGAGAAAAAACAAAAAACGAACCCACCCACCCTGGAACCCAAGGGCCCAACGTCCGGAACCCTCCGTGGCGTCGCTTCCGCCCAGCAGCCGTGGCGGCCGGTGGATCCCGTTTCCCCGGGGGCCGAAGCGGCCGCGACCAGCGCGGACCCTGGGCGAAGCACGCGGAATGTGACGCCCGTAGCGGGCTGGTCGTTGCCATTTGCTGAAGTCCCCCTGGAAAAAATGAGAAACTATGTCCAGTAGTGATGGATTCCCTTTAAAATCAACAGATATCAACAGGGGAAAATAAACAATGTTCTTAACCAAATGGAAGTTGGGGGGATGGTTTTGAAGGGAAACCAAAACGCAAACCAATTTCGCGGGGCCCCTAACAAGCCCCCGTCATTTTTGATGGCACCCTTTTTGGGGCTGGTTCAAGAAGGAAAGCAAAAGGAAAGGGGCCTCCTCTCTAAGCAGATTGGGGCATCTACGAGGGCGGTTGGTTGATTTGCCAGGGGAAACCCCCCATTCCACGCATGCTTCTGGGCAAGCCCAGTCCAAGTCTGTTGGGTGCAACCCCAAAACGGATTGTCTGACATTGGAATGACTGTTGTTAAGGTATGGCGCCCTTCGGCGGTTGTTTTAAAGGGAGACTCAAGAAACACAACCCCTGTTTTCTGAGTTCGCAGGTAGACCATCCCGTCATCCGCGGGTGAGACCCGAGCACGCAAAATGAGAACTGGTGACGTATCCATTTCGCCAACCAACGTGCATGTTGCATTGATGATCAATCTCAAGAGGGCACAAAAGATGTAAAGAAAGTAGCACGACAATTGCGACCCGCTTACGGAACATCCGAACCGCTTCGCGGACTATTCACTTGTCTTGAATAGGGCGAACCCCAGCTTGCCCACGAATTGCGCGGTCCTGCAAAATCATTGTTCCTTTAGCAGAACCTGTAAATTGAGCCATTGGTATCTGGATCAAGGAGACAGGATCTGTTTGGGAGCGTGTTGGCTCAGCCTTATGTACATATATATACATATATACATATCAGTGTGAAAAAAACAGTTTCTTTCGCGATTTCCATCGCCGATCTTTCGCGGAGGGATTTAAGCAAAGACGAATGGTCACCGAATACATAACTCCTTGCAAGGACCTTTTGATCAACCCCCATATATATATATATACGGTCAAGAGCCAACGTTTGCCGTCGGCACATGCTGAAGCCCTGATCCCCCACGCACGCAAGCACTTTTTACTGCGCAGGCAGCCAGGCTAAAGAATCTGCGACCAAAGCGTCGCGCGGGGATGTTTTCACTTGCCCGCTACTACAAGCTAGCCTATAATTCCGCAATGCGTTGAGCATCACCTGAAGGCCAGGCTCTCTGGTTAAATGAGCCGAGGACAAAACGTGGATTTTCTTCCACGATGAAGACACATTGAAATGCCCTAGCAAACCGGTTCGTCTCATGGTGCGCTTTACAGCACCAAGCCGTGATTCGGCCACATTGTCGTCGGCACATGCTCTCATTGGGTAACGAAACTGCATGCATATGTGTATACTTATATCTAGCCTCAGGAGCCGGAAGGTGACGAGCGCGTGAGACACGATGATAGTTTTCGGCGCGGGGGTAAGACGTCTGCTGGCAAACAGCGAGGCGAGCGGTGTGCGCTATTACCCCAACCCTCCCCCACCCACCCCCCAAAGATGGTTTTCGACGCAGGAACGGAAGGTGATGAGAGCGTGCGACGCAAGGATGGCTTTCTACGCGGGAACAGGACGTCTGCTGGCACGCAACGAGCCGAGCGGTGCACGCTATTACCCCACCCCCCCCCCCACCCACCCCCCGAAGACGTGACGTTCGCATTACAGTGGGGAAACTGGTTTTCGACGCAGGAACGGACGTTTGCTGGCGCGCAGAAGATACTCGGCGACACTACTACGACCCCGTTTCTGCTTGGCACGGACGTTATTACAGCTAGCAAAGGCCAACCAGCACCTTTGTATTCATAGGGTCCTACCTACACTTTTTTCCACATTTCAAAACCGCCCCGCAACTCAGACCATTTTTTTTGAGCACAAATCCCGCCATTTCAAATGCACCGCCCAAAAACTAACAATAAATATCATAAAATCAAATCAACTTACCAATATATCAAATATCCAAAAATAATTCATAATATATGAATATATTATGAAATATTATTTACTGAGTGTCCAGCCCCTGCATTTCCAAATTATCTTTATGCTGTCTGGTCTTTTTATGGCTTGACATGCCTAATTTCCTGACAGCCCGATTACAAACATCACAATGAACAAGAATGTCTTTGTTCTCAGAATAATATTTATGCCACTCTGCTCTTGCCCTTGCACGACAATCAATACAATTTTGGTAATTACCACCGAATGTTTCTACTGCTTTCATTTTACCGCACCACCCCATACAAAATTTGTCCATTGACTTTATAGTATTAAGGTAATATTCCTTTAAGTTTATTTTTCCAAAGGTGCTGGTTGCCCAGCCTGCAACGAAAACCAACAATACATAAACAATAAACGAACAAGCAACGGAACAAAAGACAATTACATAACACTCACCAAGATTTCACTGATTAACTCACTCGGGATTTTGTAAAGTTCTTCCTGCTTATGTTTTACATAATTCTCGCCCCATTTTTCTTTTGTTCCACTTGGCATCCCACGCCGTGATTTCGGCATGCTCACCTGAAAATGGTGATTTCCGCATGGTTGAGTTTCGCAAGTGCGTGGAGGGCAATTGGTGTTCAGGAGGCTATGTCCTCAAATCAATCTGTGGCACCAGATGCCACCATGAATGCCAAGTAGGCATTTGACATTTCAAGCGGTGGGCAATCGCACACGCCACAATGAATGTTGTTTTTCACATAATGCATGTCAATTTTCACATACATAATGTCATTTTTCACATGCACATTGCAGTGTCCCAATGTCAAATTCCACATAATGTATGTCAATTTTCACACACATAATGTCATTTTTCACATCTGGTGAGTTGCTGTGCCTGTGCCATTCGCTCGCTCGCATTTGTGGCAGAGGGTGGATTGAGAGAAAAGGGTTGTTGTGTGTTGGTGATGTGAAGGGAGGTAGGTTTGAAGGTGTCAAGTGATGATTGAGGCAGGTTAGGTCTGAGGGTCTTTGCTGGGTCGCTTCGTCGCCTGTCGCTTTTTTTGTGTTGCTTTTTTTTTTTAATGTCGTGCCGCGCAGGTACGACGCCCAAGTTCAACTTCGGTCGGGCACTTGTCCGGAGCCTTCGGGATGGGTTCGTAGGAGGGTTTCCCGTAGGTTTTCCCTTGGGGCTGTTTCCTTGTCTGTTCTTGTTGTTGTTGCTGTTGTTGAGTAGTAGTAATAAAAAATAATTTCAAGGGTTAGAACCGTTCATTTTTAAGATGAAGGGACACATCTTAAACACGAACTCTTAGAGACATTTTAGGAGTTTTTCGCCACACTTCTGGACTGTTTATTTCGGGGTTGTTCTTCTTTATTGATTTTGGGTTTCATTTTTTCACGGCAGTAGATACACAATTTGTAGAAATCACCATTTTTCTTGTATCCGAACTCTTCTTTATACCTTGCTTCATCACATCTGGAACATAAATAAACCATTGTGCATTCTGAGCAATCACTCATTGTTTCACTAATATACTTATTATGTCTTTAAACCTTTTTAGACTAAAATTATATTTTAAACATCTCATGCCTCAACAGGAGTTTATTAAAATCACCAACCGAATAATATTTCTGACCGAGGTTTTCTTCTATTTTGGTTATTGTGTGAGTTGTTTTAGTCCAATGACTGGTGCGTTCTTTCTCGGAAATCCCTTTCTTTCTCATTATCTTGACTTTGTCCCCTACATCTAAATCAGGATACACACGGGTTTTTTCTGGCATTCATTGATATATTCAGTTTCACCTCAAACTCATTTTTCTTTTTCCTTGCTTCTAATGGTGTCATTTTCGTAACGGAACTTACTAATTTATTATTATATGTCAATAATATTTCTAAATTGTAATCTATCCATTGTATATTGTTTTTACCTTTCTTTTCATCAGCATCAACTCTTTTAAAAAGCATATCCTTAAAGGTTCTAATAAATCTTTCTCCAAAAGCAGGGTGGCCTCTCGTGGTGTGTAATTCAATTTTTTCCTCATCAAGATAATCTGTAATGGTAGAACTAAACAAACTGCCTTCTTCGTCGCTGTATATCATTTTGGGTTTTCCGCCCATTTTCTTAATGCCTTCCATTATTCCTGCTAATACGTCTGGCGGTTGCTTACTTGCAATAGGTATTACAGTAGCATATTTACTAAATATATCAATCAATATTAGTCCAATTCTAAACTTTTGATTTTCCAAATCATTTTTAGAAATAAAAAACAAATCCAACTGGAATTCCCAAAATGAGTGTGGAGCAACAAAACTATTCTGCCCTCGCATTTTCCTTTTTTCCTCAACATTATTTTTAAAGAATTCATTTACATCGTCCGCAGTAATAGTTTTATCTTTCTGTCTGGCATCTTTCAACGTTATTCCTTTACTGCCATAACTGCTTTTATCGTAATAAATATCACTAATTATTTTTTGTTTATCCATATAATAAATTAAGATTTATTATATTGATAATATTATTTATAATTTAAATTCAGGATAATAAGGTAATTGATGATTATTAAATTGTGTATATATCTCACGTCTTTCATACATAATTTTAATAATAATATTGATATCTCTCACGGTATTTTTCACATTAAACTTGTTGCTTTCAATATATGATTTAATGTCTCCTTTTAAATCAGACCCGTCTTTCCTACGATTCAACAACATCCATAATATATGGTTAATCATTTCATATTTTTTCTTACCGATTTTGAGAAATATTCTAACATAACTATAAGGTGGTCTTTTATACACAGTTAAAAATATCAAAATTTCATCTCCAACATTTCTATTATTTCTTCTTTCCAAATTTAAATGATATCTGATTAATTCTTGATTATTTCTCCATTCCTGACAAATTTTACATTCATCTTCTTTACCCAAAGCATAATCAATTATATTATTGACTATTCCATTAGGTAAATTTAATTTGTATAGTTCCATATTCTCTTTTTTGAAATGGCAACAGTCA